CTGACAGTGCTACGAATCCCTGACGAAGAGAAATAATCATCAACAAATTGATGATTGCAGGGGAATGTTCGGAATTGGAGAATTTTCCAAGACTTTGAAAATCGGAGAAGTATAAGCCTTGTAACCTGTCCTATAATATTTTCCGCATAGTAACGTAGGTTGGAATTCTACAACCTTCTAAAGCTTTGCTTTCTTGGTGTTCTCGAAAGTTCTAGAGCTTTAGTCCTGATGTCATGTAAGACTTTCGGCATAGCAACACCTATGTAATGTTTCCAGTTAATTAAGCTGCCATGCGAATATTTAAAGGAAGCGCGATGCGAGCCTCGCTCTCTCAGTGAACCTCTCTCAGTGAAGATAACGTGGCACGGATCACGGTCTGCCTTAGCAGGACCGCCATGAACAGTCGATATCTCTCAGCAGAGCCGCCACGGACCGAATAAGCCGTCAATTTCGTGTGCGTATTCACCAGGTTTGTAGGTGCTCATTATAATTACATCATTCAGCCTGACTTTACAGCTATAAGGTAGTTACGTTAATACAGTGAAGCCATTATACTCAATACACTTTCTATTTTCAAGTGCTTGGCACTCATCACAAGATCTGGCAAGTCAACTGCATCTCTGTGAGTACCAACAAAAAGGCCAACAAAGCCCTCCTACCAATATGCAACTAGCATACATACAGGAAATAAGACACAACGCGCAACCAAGAAAGGCCTACAAGGCCCTTCTAAAGAGGAAATAAGACACCACGTGGAGCCAACAAAGCCTCTCTAGTGAGGAGACCTCAACATGTTATCAGAACGAGGAAGTACCAGAGATTTACGACCTCTTACTTCTCAGTGTAATAATTTACCACCAAGCACATTACGTCAAGAGTATCCGGAGCCTTACAACCTCCTACCTCTGTATGTAGTGTATGCTAAGGCCACGTGGCAAACCACCACAGAACTGCAAGATCTCATCGTTTCTCAACGTCGTCTTAGAATCATTATTATTGTGTAGTTATTATTGTAAAATAAAAGGCAATAAACAACACGATATACAAATGCGTTAAATATTTAATAAATGCGCTATCCCTTCCACCAGCCCGCACTTCTTTCCCCCACCAGGCAAGTGGTGATCATAGTCTAACACAACCCACCTGGTCGACTACTGAATGACTGAAATTCTAAACAGTATGATAAGACAAATACCAATTTTGAATAGTTATACACTTTTATTAAATCAAAATTAAATGAGAACTTCTTCTTTACATATAATTTACGTTGTAAAGAAAATGAATAATGTCTTTTGGTCGAATTGTAGCATTTGTAATTTTCTTTCTACCTTATTTTGAAAAATACATTTAGATAAATGTTGATGTAATAATGACAGTTTCAAAAACTGAACTGATTATAGTAACAATATCTATAGAATCTCAATAATTTGTTTAATTTTAATACCAATAATAAATTTTAATACTAATAATAAATTTTAATATTAATGATAAATTATAAAACATGAAAATTATAATCCTTAAATATTTATTGATAAATTATTTATATTTGTATTCGACTATAAAAAATTATAAAAGAATATAATTTATTATCTTATAATAATAAATGTAATGAATAACACTAAATTAATTTTTTTTTAATACAGATTTATTTCATTTAAATATATCTGATATTATTTTTATATTTACAATATTCATTATACATTCATTATTCATTTATTTTATGAATTTAACAAAAAAATTATGCATTTTAAATTCATACTTACAAATATTCTTTTGAGAAATATTCACAAATTTACAAATTATTTTTCTTATTTCAAAAATATATGACTTAAATATATTATACATTCTCGTAAACTTATATATAGTTATTTAAATATTATATTTAATATAATATATTTTAATACTTATAAATAGTTTTGTTGACAATTCATGCATTCGTTTATTACATATATTAAAACTTTTTATATTAAAAAAAATATATTTATAAAAGCATTGTTTATACAACATTAAACCATTAATGTTAAATTCTTATTATAATTTTAAATAAAAAGCTTTTAGAAAAACTAATCAAATATTAAAGAATATTATAATAGCTTATAATACAATATATGAAATGTTTCAATTTCTGCATGAAAATTCTTTCGAATATATATGAATTTTCATTTAAACACTAACATTAAATTTTAATTTATACGTTTAAAAAAGCTTATTAATCTTAATAATATTCCCAGAAATAAAATATTTATGTGTACTCATATTTCATAAACTACAGTTTCCAAGAATATTTTTTGTAAAAATATTGTACATTAAACTATTTTTTTTAATTTCTACATGTATATAACTTTTAATATAATCTCATATTAATTTAACTAAATATTAAATATATAAAATTAGAATGACTCACAAGGATCATAAATGACAGTCTAAAACTAATGATAATATTTATATAATAATAAATTGAACATTGTACAATATTGTAAAATTTATGATTTATACGATTTTTTAATGAAAATTAATATTATTTATTAAATAAAAAAAGATTGTATTATATATGAATTTTTATTAAGGTTACTTTATTGATTTACTGAACATTCTGACTTTTATTATAGTATTAAGGTATATCATATACTCGTCATACAATTTTTAATTAAATTAATAATAAGTTTATAATAAATTGATACATATTTTCAACTTTAATAAACTATATTAAATTTAATTTTGTTAATATGCTTATTGATTACATTAATACATATACTTCAGGAATAATTATAATAATATTTTGGCATTTATTTTATTTAGAAAATTGTGAATAAAAATTTCATATTACTAAAATATCATTTTAATAAATATTCTAATATTGTAATTAGAACAATTGTAATATTTTTATTACAAATGGATATACTAATACGATATTATTTTTCATAAAAGTATAAATATGATAATAATATTCACATCTAAAAAATTTATATAATGATTATTATGAAATATAAAAAAAGTAAATAATCCATTACGTTATATTCATTAATGATACATTGTTATTAATGTTGTTATTAATTTTTATATAGGGTGTTTTTTTTTAAATGTATTATTGTAAAAAGAATTCGCATAAAATGTAACTGTAAGTAAACATAATTTGATACTTACATAATATTTTTTATTATTTTAATTTCAGAACATCTTACCCAATACAGACTTATAAATTGATATTTATAATATACATTACAATACAAGTAATGATAATATTATATTATTATATAAAAATTAAAATAATTATTGAGAAATATAACTTGCAAATATGCGTATGTTCTACGTTCATTTTTGCGCGCATGCATTATAAATGTTTTCATGAACTATTCATTATTCTTGAATTCTTCAATAGAACTTTATTTTATCGATTGTACGTAAATAACTAAAACTACTGTCGATAAATTAGAATTCTTCTATAATACTATGAAATATTTCTTTTTATCAGATACTTAATTCATAGTCAATATTTCAATATTTAATAAGTATATATAGAACAATTTATATTAATTAAAATGATTTTATTTAGAATTATTTTAAATGCAATATAGATAAATATTATTTTTATAAAAATTGAATTCATGTTCTTTAGGCTCAATTCTAAATATTATCAGCATGGTATACCAATATAAGATTCATATAACGAATATGACCATACTCGAAAATTAATTAGTGTTATATGTACATTCATCTAATATGATCTGTAGATTTTTACATGATATTTCTTTTATTTATATAAGCATACATATTTTAAATTAAAATATATTTTTTATGTTATTAAAGGGATTTATCATTCTTTTTCTGATTTCACTGAAATTAATACTTTTTAATCTATTAAATGTGGACTATCACTCAACAGTAATTTTGTATTATATAAAATATACGTTTTAATTTTTTAAATTATAATTTATTTGAATTTTATCTAATTTATGAAGAAATATATATTTTTTAAATTACAATTGAATTTCTTAATATATAAAAACATTTATTACATACTTTTCACTAAATATATTAGATATATAATACCTAATATATCTACTGCATTTGTTATAAGAATATGAATTATGAAATTGAATTAAATTGATTTATTTTATTCAGATATTTCATGAACTATAAAACACTGAACTTTCATAAATGGTTTAAAAAATTTAAATGAGATTAATAATCAATAAATAATACTACATTTATATATAGTAATAATAAAACGCATGATAAAACAATAATAATAAAATTAAAGGTAATACAAAATATAATTAAAAGTCGGAATATTAGAATTAAACAATTTCCATTTAATGCAATATTCAACGAACAGGCCATTGTTTTACATAAGTTTTTTAATTATCTTTTATTAAAAGTATCTTCACTCAAAATTTGTATTACTAATTTTTTTAATGACATATAAATTAAAAATGTTATATATAAAACAAAAAGAAATTTATACAATGTTTACTTATCTATAAAATCATATAAATATAAGTAATTCTTCTAAACATTATAATTGTGACGAATTAATATTAATTTAATATTTATTATTTTAATAATTAGTAAAATATATTATTCAAAAAAATAATATCTTTACATAAATTATATAATTAGATTTGGAAAAAAATTAAGTACACTTTAATAGATTACGAGGTATTTACATTTATAACTTCAAAATAATGAATGTTTTTAAATAATAACATTTTTATTCAATATATAATTTAAATTATGCAGTTATAAACATTTTGTAACATTTTGAATAATATATTGTAAAATAATAATAAGTAAATAAAATTAGAATCAACCAACCAAAATTGAAATATATACATTTAAAGGATTGTACTTTTAAATGATATACGAATATAAAATAGACATTTAAAAATTTCATTTAATTTTTTTTTATTTAATTATTTCAGAGATCTATAATATACTTATATTAAAAATACAAAGTGTTTCTAAATATCGAAATATGCCCTTGAATTCTCTCTAATTGAATCATTAAAAAAAATTTATTTCACTGAGGATGTACACAATACAATGTGAATAAAATAATAATATATAAGTATATAAGAAAAACAGCGCGAGAGGTGCGGGGAAGCAAAAGAGAGATTAAAAATTAAAATTTTTAATTAAGATGAAGCAAGCAATTTAGCATTTGCAGTAACATGATTTTGATGGTATGGTATTTCCTGAGCAGTATAATAATTAACCTGTTGGTGTTCACTCGTTGGGACACTAAGATGATGCGTATGTTGGTAATATGCTGAATAGGATTGCCCGATAACTCTACCGTCGCAACTGCGTGGTTCCGTTTTCACAGTTGAGATTGTATTTTCTGCACTATCTCCACTAGATGGCAGAAGTGATGTATGTCCCAGATAGACCGAACGCTCTGATGACACGGATGTTAAATTCGTCGATAATACTTTGCTATCAAGATGATGATTATGCTGTTGTTGATTTTGAGTCTGATTATGAATGCTTTTAGGTTCTGAAATTTATAAAATTGTATACAAACGTATTTTATCTTAATATTTTCAAACTTAAAATTACGTTTGAAAATGATTTTTATTTAATAATACGGTATATGTTAGTATAAAAATATTAAATTACAGTTTTCTAATAAACCAAATATATTTAATAGAAACAGCAATTAAAAATATAAAATCATTCAAATATTGTTTAAAAAAATATATATATAAATAACTGTAATTAACATTTTAAGAATTATGATTTTATAATTATGATAATTTAATGATAACGGTAACTTATTTTTATCTTACATTTTGATCCTTTATTTACTCATCCGTGATAAATCACATAATAAATTTAATAAATGCAATGTAGTATTAATATTTACTTATATTTTGACGTATTTATTTATAAATATGAACACAATAAAATGATTAAAGACTAAAGCATGAATGAAAGTATATTATATTTAATGTGATAAGAAAAATTAAATTTCTGTAATATTAACAATATTTAATTTTTTTTTATAAAAAAAATATTTGGCGTATTTTCACAAATATTTAAATGATAGCAGCATTGTTATTCTAATTTTGAATCATAAAGACACTCACATTTAATTTGAATAAATTATAAATAAGAAATTCATATTATTATAGTAGTAGTAGTAGTAATATCATCTTATATTCTTTTAATAAGAAATCAGTTCAAATTATGCAACTACATATTAAAATTAGAAACATGTATATTTTACTGAATAATAATCATAACTATGAAATTAACAAATAAATTGAATCATTAAAACTATTAGATATGATTTATTTTCACAACTTTGGATTCAATTTATAGATGATAATTGTCAGCTTTTATTGTCTAACCTTTATTGTAAACAATAATAGAAATGAAAACTTTCTTTGATAATATCAAGTTAATACAAGTTGGATATTATTTAAAGTATTTTAAAAATTTTATCACAAATTAACATTGGACTGTCATAGTATATAAAATTCAGGATATATAGTTACGATAATATCATCAATCATAAATAAATATATGAGAATGAATGAATTATTACAAAAGTGTTAACAATTATGAATCAAACATAAATTTGTACCATTCGTTAAAATTTCAAATTTATATAGTTTTATAATGTTTGCAACTCTAAAGCATGTCGCTTTAAATATACTCAATATGCTCAAAGTAAGAATGATGCAATCGCGGAAAACTTTTTGTTCAGCAAAAATGCAAATTATTATTGATATACGTATATTGTATTCAGTCTCAGCTCTATGTATACGTATAGTTATAATACTGTAAATAATTGTTTTTAATATACATCATAATACATGCATATATAATAAAAGTAATGCTATGGTATGCTATCATCGATGTTTGTTTTTTAATATCATAAAAATCTCAAAAAATAATGTAGTATATAAGCAATAGAGAAATTGATACCATTGGATGGTGACGAAGCATTGGAAATATTATTGTCATGTTCGGTGGAAGGCTGGCGTACATTTGACTCTGGTGTTTTCTTGGGTTTACGCTTGCGCGTCTGTATACCGTCTTTTCTCATTGCTAATGGCCGGTTAACTCCATGAAGTTTAAAGTAAAGGCCACATGCATTGCATACGGGCTCACCTTCATTGTTGCGCCTCCAAAGGGTTGTAGTACGTGTGCCACAGTTTGTGCAGCACAATCCTAATCGCCTTGTCGCCGTCTGAAATTCGGAAATCTATTCCATTTGCTTACGTATATCGATAATAACCAATATTCACATTTATAGTATGAGTAAAGTCAATTTTATTGTATATTTATTCAAATAGTAACAATCATAATAATAAATATTATGTATTAATGTGGATATGAATTATATAATTTTTTATATAGTAATTATATGAATATATATATTTTTATATAGATTTTTTTATAAATTTTTTATATTTTCTATTTTTTTTATGTTTTTTTATATAATTTTATATATTTATATAAAATTTTATAAATTCTATATAAAAATATATAATAGAATATATTTTTTTTTAATAAAAATTTAAATATAAAGTTTATTTTATTTTTAATTGTTTTTGTAATTATACATATGTAACAAAAAAAATTAAAAATAATTCTTAAATACTTAATTATAAGTACTAAATATCATTCTAATTTTATTTAGATTTTTATATAAGATGCTTATTGAAAATAATGGTTATAAATTCATATTCTATAAAATGACTTTGCAGTATTATACATTTAAAAAATTGATCTGGTTTGCAGAAACATAAATAATAAATAATATTTAGAAAAACAAAAAAATATTTCGATATTAGTTTTAATTAGTAGTTTTCGGTAAAAATAAAAAATTCAAACAATTTAAAATTGATAATAAGAAAAAGTGTATTTGTTGTAATAAATTAATGTTGATTAATAAATAAAAATTTTATTGAAAATAACTTACCAGTCGTTTGGTGGGCTTGATAAGAGGACGATTCATACCATTTATTTTATGATAAAGACCGCAGGCATTACAAAGATAATGACCAGTGCCATCACGCCGCCAAAGCGGAGTTGAAATGGCTCCACAATTTACACATTCCCGCCCCTCGCTAAATTGAAAATCCATAGCCGTATCTGAAACATTAGTACTGGATTGTTATGTGCCAAAACTATATTTTAATTGCTAAACTTCAATGATATGCAATTGCAATATAACACTATATAATAAAATTAATAATGTTTTCATCTTATTCAATCAATTTTTTTATGAATCGCCTATAATACCCTTTAAACAAAAAAGAAACATACATATATTGGAAAGTAAAACATTGCTATAAAATGAAATCATTTTTTCCTTAAATAATTTCGGTTACAATACAAAGAATTTTCATGAAATAGTTTTTTATTTTAATCCTAAGTATTTTAAATATCATAATAATAAATTCAAAAATATTGTTTAATTTCAGTGTACATAATTACATTACTTCATTTAAACTTATTGAATAAAATTCTCTAAAATAAAATCTATAATTTTAGATATTTTTATTATTATTTTGAATATTAATTAAGTTTCATATAAAAATTTGTTTAATTATATTAAATATAGACTCAATCTATACATTCAGAAATAAATTTAAAAAAAAAACAAATCTATCTCATAAAATAATCATACTTTTAAATATTTTTGAAATAGTATATTACTGATATCTTTTACACTATTCTACATTTTTCATTAATATTATAAATGTTTTTTAATGATTTTTTAAATTGTAATTTCAATAAGTTATACTCGTATAATTATTTTCAAAAATAATAAATTAGGTAGTTTTACTATAATAATTTCATTAACTTAATAACTGTAAGATTCTATTTAACTGTAATATTTATCAAAACATAATATTTATTAGAGGATTGATTTTTAAAACACATTTTGTATTTCGGTAAATATAGTTATAAAAACCAACAGACATATATTGACAGATTATTTTTACTTATATTTATATTAATGCGATAAATTCGTATAATGTCAGTATAAATAAGTATATTTAAGTTATGTATATATTTATTTTAATATACATGTATAAAGACATGTGTGAGGGTGGGCATGCATGGAATGGTATGCGCGCATGTGCACACTTGCAGGATGTTCATAAATCCTAGGAAGCATTTTAAATAACAGGCTACATACAAATAAGATAAATAAAACTTAATGTCATTGTATAACTTATTTATTAACCTTGCACATCATTTTCTATAAATGTGGAAATAATATATAACTTATGTATGACTTGAAAAAAAAGTCTACGTACACATACTAAATAAAACCTATAATGTGGATTCTTGAATTAATTGACGAAAAGCTGTGCAATTATCATACAATAGAATGTTTTCTAAAACTTTTGATAGTGATTTATATTCATCATAGTGCACAATCATTATTCTTACAGTTATATCCATTTCATACAAAATTAAAAATTTTATGCATATACCTATATAACTTATAGCTCAACATAATTTTATTTATTGATTTAAATGCAATAGAATAATAATCTTAAATTACTTAATAAATTACGTTAAATAAAAATCTCAAATAAAAATTGATTTTTCATTTGATTTCTTTTGATAATCAAAGCATTGATATGTAAATTTTATTATTATTTATGTAAATAACGAATCGCAACATATAGTAGTAGTAACTTTTTAATACTTATAAAAAGACACATTAAATAATTATAAATTATATCAGTAATTTTTAGTTAACTAATATTTTGCATATATTTGATTATTATGTTTCCTAAATGTGCAGTTACTTAAATACGTTTAGTATAAATGTTATTTAAATATAAATTATATTATTTATATAAATATAATAAACCAAATTTATTAAACTTAAATTACAATTATTTTTTATGTAATTTACGTTCCATATGATTTACAAACTGTATGAATAAGAACCTGATAGTTTTTATATATTTATGTTTCAAATAATTTATGTTTACGTTTATATAGTTTTTCCATTTTCTATATAAATCAAGTTTAATGATGTTTCTTACTTTATAAAACTTAGAATATTTTAATAAATCAAAGTGTATTTTATATATAATATACAATAACAAAAATAGAAAGAAATTTCAAAGTTCATATATAAAGAATTTCTGTATAAAGTAACTTAGACGATGATGTATTATGATGTTTAGTCAAGTGCTTTCAAGATTAAAGCATCTATACAGTCCAATTACTGTATCGTGTCTGTACTTTATCTTTCCTGTATTCTTTTTTTTATAGAGTTTATGTCAATATTTCTGTCCTTTTTTACTCTTTCTTCTAGATGTAATAGTAATTTATCTGATTTACATAGATGCTGTGCTTGTAAAAATAATTTATATATAAGAGACAAATAAAAATGTCTTTCATTCTTAAAAACATCATTATCTAATTATTGTAATCAAGAATAAATTTAACCAATTATTATGTATTGAACTACTATATTTAAAGTTCAACTACAAAATTTATAAGAATAATAAAAATAATTACGTCATTTATAATAAAATGTAAGAATATACTGATTCTTGAAATATATCAATATTTGAACCAAATTATCTGCATATTTAATGTAATATTTAATTACTAAAACATTTTTTCAAACAAAAACTTTTTTTCTTTTCCTTTAACGTTACGATATTATTGTAATTAAACCCTTAAATTAATATATAATTCAATATTTATTTTAATTTATTATTAAATATTTGTTCTTAAACTGAAAAATATATTAAATATAAAAATTAATATCGAAGTATGCTAAATAAAATCAATACAACATTATTAAAAATTTTGTAAGCAACATGATTTTAGTTTCTAATGTTAAACATTAAGAATAATTTTTAAAGTTTCAAATTTATTATTTTTAATAATAATATTACAAACAGTATATAATGAGGATAATTTAATAAACTGTCTTCAAGAATTTGCAATATAATATAAAAGAGTTATTAAAAAAATGGAACAAATAGTGAATTTATTATTGTAACTATAATATTCTAAAACAGGAGATAGTAATTTAAAGCGTACAGCCCAAAATGATAAATAACGGCTGTTGAAGAAATAAAGTCTGTTTACTGAAATATAAAACAAAATTTATATATAAACATGAAAAAATTAAACCAAATATAAGTATAATTAAGTTATACAAAAATAGAAAAGCATAAAATATATAACCAAAGAAAGATGTGTAATGGATTATATTGACGCCAGAAGACGAAAACACTTGATCTGAACTTCGATGAGATTTCTCTTCAAAGCCAAACCGCTATCATTTATCCCATGCACATGGCTTGTACAAGCCTGTTCATAACAGCTGCGATTCGTTATCCTACTCGTTGGCATAAGAAAAATTTTAACTTTACTAATTCTCTTTTTTTACATTCATAGATTTATATTACTTTGTTCTACTTATTTATTTTTCTGCTATCTTATACTAAAATATATTTATAATTTTTAGCAACAGATTTTATATAACTAAAGTAAGTCAGTCGTGTTTAAATAGAATACTTTTCTGTTTAATTTATCCATGTCTATTAAGATTTTTATTGTTGTAGATGTTTGAAAACATTTACAAATTGTAAAAATAATCACTAATTTATTATTAATATAAAAACTAAATAACATTGAAAAGTACGTCTTCATTTAGTAATATAAATACTTCATATTTATTTATTATTATTTTTAAAATATTTACAATATGTATTTTTAATTATTTTTAAATTCCACATTCACTCTTTTTAAAATAATTATTGTCATTTATTTATTATAATATCAATATTTAATTACTAATATCGGATTTAACGATATAAATGTTTTTTCATTAAAATTTTTGTTGACTTTTTAAGAAATAAAGTAAACAGGCATTATTCGTTAAAATATTAATTTCAAAATTTGTACCAAGAGTATTGCAAAAATTAGTACATAAATTTAAAAAATGACTCTATTAATTAATAATTGAATAATAAACAAAAATAATTAGTTAATCACAACTGTTTGAAGTAATATAATTATTTAAATTTTAAAGCTATATCAATAGTAGTTGAAATAATAAAAATAATTCGAATTTTAAATTTAGATAACTATTTGCAAACTTAAATATTTGAAAATAATAATATCAAAAATTTCATATCGATTTTTGAAATATATATTTAAAAGATTTTTTTTAATATGAATTTGTTCAAATTAAGTTATCTTTTAAGAATATAAATGTTCATTTATTTAATAAAATTTTATACTTTACGTAACATGAAAATTTCTCTCTGATAATGAAATCTAATTTTTGAAAATACTCATCACTAGTTCAATGACTTTTTTAACAGTTAAGCTTACCATAAGGAGAAGCTCGTTGGAATGCCGCACTATCGTAAGCTCTCCATGATGACATCATCGCAACATTTTGTGCATAAAATGGTGAGGCTGCTGCTGCTGCAAGAGTCGTATGAGGATGTGCTGAATGAGAATGTCCTGAGTGTATATGCGTATGACCAGTGTGCGTTCCGATACTACCAGTAGTGTTTCCCGTGTGCCCGACTAAAGTATGGTGAGTGTAAGTATCTACGCCGTGCTGCCAAGATGCTGTTTTTTCCCTGAAGAAATATCATCAACGATTATAAATTTTCATGTACTGAACAAGAAACAGATTCTTTTTTATGGATTTATCATAGCAAAGCTTGCTATATCCAAAAAAATAAATGATTGAATTCTAGAATAAAATAATGGATACGCATAAGTTAATCATATATGTACACAAGTTACATGAGTTAATTGTATATATATAATCATAATGACTCCGGACACACTAAGCGTTTAAGACATCTATAAAAATATATATATATAAAATATATATATATATATATATACATCTATAAAATATCTATATATTAAAGCATTCTTAAATCCGTAAATTATGCTGTTAGGAAAAGAATTTTTTAATTTATAAAATTTGAAAACTTGTTTTCTTAATATTAGACATTTTTAGATATTCCAAAAATTTTAAGAATGAAATTAATTTTAATATAAAAGAAAATATCTTTTAAAATTGATTTCAAATAAACGATAATATATTTTGAAATTATTCCTTCATGTGAACGGTTATTATTTAGACCAAAGAAAATTCACTTTTAAAATAAATATACTTAAATTAAATAAATCTATATCTATGTTTATTACTGTGTGTGGTGCATTACTATCTATATTATATACTATATTACTTAATACTTAATAAAATACTTTCTAAAATATATACAGCATTGTAAAATATTTAAAAGTTAAAATCAAATAAAATAAAGGATTATGATTTAACTTTATCTAAATATAAAAAATAAATAACTAATATTAGTTGTAATAAAATATTATTCTTTTTTAAAATGAAATAAAAAATAAAATCAGATTCAAACATTTTGTCATACAAATATATTAAAAATTTTACAATTAAAAATAAAATATAATATAATAAATGATAATATCACAATAAATGTATTAAAAGTATAGAAGTATCTTGAGATTGTATTTTTTTTCTTTTTTGTGCAATTGGGATATAAACAGGCCTACGCTAAATTCCCTATTATTTTTAAACAGAGTTTACATACTAATGAAATAACGAACAATTGTATTAATAACAATATATTTGTTATTGTCCTTTAATAAACATTTGTATTTTAAAGTAAACTTTTTTTGTAAATTTCGAAGAAGTTACATATAATAAACAAACTATAAATTAAAGAAATATAATTTTAAAGAAAATTTGTTATTCGTGTATTAACTGTAATTAAAAATTTGTATGAAACTGAACAATTTTAATTATATATTTTTTGTCCTTCAAACAATTTTATTTGTTTTCATAATTTTAAGTCTATTGGTCTTAAAAATATACGAATAAAATATTTTAAATTAAATAACTTTGTCAGAAAGAATATTTATATATTTTTTAAATCTTAGTTCCTAATAAAATTAAAAATTTTACTTCTAAACTATGTCATAAATTATATAACAAAAATATAATCCTTGCATCATGTGAAACCGTATACTTATACGTTAAAACTTATTTGCATGTATCACTAGTTATGTAATGTACTAAATAATATTATTATATATTAAAACATCGATGAACTGTTTTCTGCTACTTTAATATAAATAATAATAGTATAATACAATATTAAAATAATCGAATACTGACCACCCAGGCGAAGCTGAACTAGGAAATGAATGATACTGAGTTGCAGAAGTTGTCGAGGATATCGTAGGTCGGGATGAAGGCACATAAACAGGAGATTGAAGTTGCTGAACATGCTGCTGATGTTGCTGAACTTGCTGTATTTGCTGCTGGTACTCAGAACTCCCACCATAGCTACTGCTCCCAGTCCCGTGGAACATTATCCTTTTCCAAAGACTATCGACACAAAATTCACTAAATAAATATAATTACCCATATAAAAATAAATTATTTGTAAAAAGTAATGAAAATTTTTTTTAGTTAATTAGTAGTATTAACGTTCGTTCATAAATTTGATATAAAAAACATTATATCAACGTAACAAACGAATTGATTGTTTTCATTAGTGAATTGTGTTGAACAGTAATATTGAATAAATTGATTAAAATATAAAAATATGATTATTTGGAATCTTAATGATAAAAAAATTGAAATTAAAATGTTTACATATGTCTTATTAGAATATAAAAAATATCAAAAACAATCCCATAATAATTAATTAAAATTAAAGTAGAAACAAAATTTAAATAAATGTTTCATCAGTTATCAATACATTATAGCTAACAACTAATATGAGAAATGAAGATATGAAGATATAATACAAATTAATAAGTCATTATATAGAAATAAAAATTACAAATACAAACCAAAGTTTCTTAAGAATTATTTTTACTTACCTTAATTAAATAAATTAAGATAAGATTCAAACACAATAAAAAAAATTAATAATGGTTTTATCAATTATGAATTTGGAAATTTCTAATGAATTAAAAATATTAATATAGTATAATATATCGTATTTTAAATGTAAATTTGATAAAATAATCTATATCAATAATCGTAACTGAAATGTAAATTTTAGCTTTTATACATTTTATATATTTTATTTGTTTTATATATTTAGTATAACTTTAGCTAATAATTTTCAGTTTAAATTTTATTACTTTTAAAGCTGATGTTGTTTTTTAGATCCAATGTTCATGGGCTATTCAATTTTACTTCGTGTTTTATTATACAATATCATCATGGTATAACAGGAACACTGTAATTATGAATTGATGGCAAATTATTTATAGTGAACTATATAAAATCTTACTGTTTATTACACTGTTCATTTATTAGGAATAAGTTATCCTTATTTTTATAAATTTAATTAAATATGAACTTAAATATGATATAAGATCATTGAACACAGTGAATTGACTAATCTTTATGTAATTATAAATTTTTTGTTCCATTTATTTATTTCATTATTCCTTTCCTTATTAAAATAATGAAATTTTAATAATTTTATATTTCAGAAAATTTTCTAGTAATTACTAGATTACTAGAGTTATACCGTTTGCTACAAGTATCTTTTTGATTCATAGTAGATTCACTGATGAAAATATATTAATATATTAATATGAGATATTAATTGAAAAAATGTACGACATTACTCTATGTTTATTAGTAGCTGTCATACACTTTTATTACTTCAAAAAATATTTTGTTTTTTTTATTAATATCAATTTTTTTTCTTTATACAGTCATACTCTGGAAATTTAAAAACATATTATGATAAATATCAATGTATAAATATAAAACAAAGTTAAAAGAATATAAAAATTTTTATTATTCTTAAATAAACATAGAAAATAGAAGCAAACGAAGTAAAAAGTGAAAAATAAAATTGTATTTAAAATATAGTTTTAGAAAGAAGGAAAAGGAAAGAAACGGTTAATCTTATTCAAGAGATGACACTGTATCGAAAATAAAGATCCGCCATATTTTGGCAAACGTTGAAACCTTTCCATTCGACTTCATTTTTTCCACCTCTTTAATGTACATATTTAATGACAGATGAGAGAAGGGGAATGGAAAAGGCTTAGTTTAAAATTGCATTAAAAAGGGAACCGATGAGATGGAAGGAAGAAGGTTCAAAGGAAAGAAAGGAACGAGCAAGATAAAGTCGATAATGAAACAGGAGAAATAAAGAAAATAAAAGAAACAATGAAAAGAGAGAGGCCGTAGATGCATTACCACTTCCCCGCGATACATATAAACGCGGCCATCGCTGGAGCCACGAATACCAGTTCGCGTAGGCGGGACCATTGAAACTCCTCGTCGTATAATCTACTCTTTCAATTTTTTTCTTACTCTCTACATTCTCGGAACATGCATACTTACAAACAAATACTTCTTTAGGAAAAAACCTTAACAGAAGATATCTCTGTATATGAATTCCGTAAAACCAGTTTAAAGCTGCATAAAAACAAAAAAAGAGTTGAAGGTTTTTATTTTTCACAGTGTTTTTCTTTAGAAAAAGGAAGTTAAGTCACATGCACATATACACATATAATTAAATTTTCAATTTTTTGTTAAAAGCACTTTTACTATAGTAAACAACATTTTTAGTTTAATTTTTTGTTCAAAATATATATATTTTATAAAATTTACTCCCAAAAGTAAAGAAATACGTGTTTAATTTATTCGTGCTGTATGAAATTAATAAAATTGATTTCTAAGATGAAAAATATTTTCACAAACACAAAGCCTTATTTATTTTTTTCAAATATTGATTATTTTTATTTAAATCTCTTTTTAATTATAATTTTAAGATATTGCTGATGAACGAATTTAATAGAAGAATTATAAATTTTAAAAAACATTTTAACAAAACATAATAGTAGTATAATAGCCGTAAAGAATAACTTATATAATTTAAAAAATTTCTAATATTTAATTTAATATTTCAATAATTAATCAATAATTCATTTTTTCATCGTGCGATCATTACGATAAATGATTTCAGAAGATGATACAATTTCTTCTAAACAATAAATTTCTTCAACAAAAATGAAAAAAAAATTTTTTTTTAATAATTTAAAGAATGTTAGTTCATTCGCGAAGTTAAATTACCACTATGAAATACTGCTGTAATACTGTTGAAATACTGTTTTATGAAAAAAAAAAGAAATTACAAACTAACAATTATAAAAAATAAGGAGATACAGTATAACAAAGTCAATTATTATTCTTCAATGTAGAAAAACTTTACCTATAAAAATAGTTATATTAAAAGAATTTTTCAATCGCATTACTATATGCAATATTTATATTATATTATTATATTGCAAATTGTAAAAAAAAAAAATTAAAGTTGTTAGTACAATACGCAACTTAACTGTATAAATTTTATCAACATGATCATCATCATCATCATCATCATCATTATAGGCACAAATTTATATTTAATGTATACAATTATCTGAATCTATTCAAAAGAATAATTAAAGAAAAAACTTTTTTTTATTATAGAATATAATGCTTTTCTATATTTACAAATAAAGAGAGAGATTGAGAAAGAGGGTGGAGAGGGTGAGAGTGAGAAAGAGAAAGAGAATGAAATCACTTTTTATTTAGTTTTCTAAAATTAAAATTAAATAATAACAATTATGTATATGTATAAATAATCGTATCACAAATTCTTATTATTACGTATGTTTCATTGCGGCAATCTTAGTAAATTCATTGATACTTTCTAGTCGTTAGGTCGTAAAATAAACATGTAAATATGTATTTTTGCATACACATACATACGTACACACAACACAAACGTAAACAAGACAGGCCAAACGAGATATGGAAAGAAGGAACGTAAGTCGCCTGCGGCGATGTCCCAGCGACGCGGTAAGGCGCCATGGCGCCGAGATCGTAGAAGGGTTTTCTTGTCGATGGCACGCAGGTATGCAGTCACGCATACACTAATGTAAACGATGGTAGTCAGATCCATGTGTGTGAAAAATTTTCTAAATCTTGACTCAAAGTATAGACGTATCTTTAATACGCTTCCTTTAACAACGGAAACGAGGCCTCCTTGTCTTTATTTTATTGGTCGGCAAAACTAAAGGTAGCCCTTTCTAAGTTTATATATATTTTTGCAGATAAGATTTAATCGGATTATAAAATACAATTTTCTGCTTTGAAATAATTCTCTCTTTCAATCAAGTTTTACGATTTTCAACTAATTCTCCATACTTGAAAAAAAATTTTTAGCGGCATTTTCTATGTAAATGTGTTTATACAGATTACAAATATAAATTTATTTATCGAAGTAAAAAATACTGATAAATATTTCATAGTTACATCATTATTGTAGATACACTGATTTTATCTAAATTTAAATATTAAACAGAGTACTAAATCGTCAAGCTTTATTGTATAACAAAATTAATTGGATTAGAAAATATAAGCATATTTATAAAATATAATTTTATATGTATTTTATAGCTATATAAACGATAAGTTTTTTTAACCAGATAATTATATTATTTATTATTTTACGCAACTCAGCGTATATATGTATATATATATTTTTATTTTAACTGTCGTATATAATATTTAATTTCTATCTATTTTTAATTTTTTATATTTGTTTGTATCTCCTAATGCTTAGAATAAATAATTTCATAAATCCTCAATGTTCAAAATTTTATTCTAATAATTATTCGGAAACATAATATATGAATTTTTCATTTTTTTTTAAACAAAGGAAACTGAAAACATTGTTTATTAAATTTCGATTTTTTGATAAATGATAGTTATTGTTATATACAAAAGGTATACTTTACTTACCTTGTATAATATTTTATCCATACAAATTTATTTTTTTTAATATACAATTCCAGTTTAATTATGACACAGTTATTACTAAGGCTACTATCAAGGAGTATTAAGATATATATCAATATAATGTAGATTTTTTATAATAATATGATTTTTAATTTAACGTAGATACATTGTTAAATATCATGTAGAATAATAAAAAAAACCTAATGGAAACTATTAAAATGTGTTCCGAAAACAGTAAAAAAATTTATAACTACAATTATTATAGTATCCGTATGGCATAATTTAATTGACAATGTGCACACTACATGAACACTAATGACAATTGACAACTAAACAAATGATTATATCTAATAATAATTAATTTTAATTGTTTTATTATGAGTTTTATTCATGAGTTTTCTTACTCAAATATTTTATTGTAAACAATTATTATTTTGATAAATGCATTGAGAGCGTGAAACATTATATGTCAGTTACATGTTTATATCTTCCGAAATTTATATAATATAATATTAAGATTATATTATAGAATAGATAATATAATTATTTAAAAGATTTAAAAA